GGAGTTGCTGCTACTAATCCACATTGTTAGGGGCTTAAGACATTCACAAGTGCTCAGTAACACCTGGGTTAACAAGTATGAAAATGTTTAGTATATAAGAAAAAGTGCTCTGTTTCTGGTATACTTTTGCATTTCTAAAATTTCTGCTGAAATCAGGGAGGATTTCAATGCCATTCTCAAAAATACTGTGCACACTTTGTGACAGTTTGCCATACTTCTCTGCTTGTGAAGCAGAAAAGTGAATGGAAATGCGCTTGTGAATGGAAATGAGCAGTAACTATGAAAGCACAACAGATAAGCTGTCCATTGGCTCAAGCCACTATATCTCGAGTTCAGCAGTCCATCTGTCCCTAAAACCTTGTTTTATGGCTGCTGCTTCCAATGCAATCTCTGTTTGTGACAAGTCCGACGAAGGTACCATAAATTGCAGCTGTGCTGTTGTGCGGGGCTGGGCAGAGGGAGGCCGATGTTCTGAGAAGCTCTGCTTGGGGGGTCTCGCCTGCGTCAAGTTTAAGGGAACAGTGTAGGTGAAATGTAAATGTGAGCTGCCTTTCTAAAACTGGGCAAGTCTGCGAACTACTGCTTTCCAAGCTGTATTTTGAAATTGCAAGTAAAAATTATTTGTAACTGCAACCATTTCCCTGTTTTCATTCAAAATGCAAATTCACATAATTAAATTATTTCACAGATTTTTCCTGCTGAAATTGAGGCACGGAAGCGGGGTATTGTAATGACCCTGAGATTAGGTCAGTTGGTTAGAGCATGGTGCTAATAACAACCAACATCACAAACCCCATCCCCAGCTAGGCCATTCAGTTGGATTTGAGGATCCTTGTGGGTCACTTCCAGCTCAGAATATTCTGTGATTCTGTGAACATATGCTAAAAACCCCTTGTCTAGGTCAGTATATCTGTTGATATGCCATAACATGTTTGATTGCCATTAAATACTACAAAAATTAGGATCTGTGATTGTCCCACTTTTAAAGTGACAGATGTCAATTGGTCAGGCATGTGAAGATTGTGGGTGTGCACACAGATGCATGTATATGCTTATGAATGTAAAGTATATAAAATTATGTGAAATAAAATATGGAGTAGGTTAAGCTTGGAATGACCACAAGCACAATGAAATCACAAGTGAATTACGAGTACCAATAAAACTTTATGCAACACCATATTATCATGTCTTCTGCATCTGCCGTTTCTTCAATAGAAAATCTACTTTAGAAATGTCATGTATACCATTTTAGAATTATATGGTAGTATTTATTGTACCCTTTCATCTGTAAAAGCCAGACCAACCTTTATATCAGTCCATCTGGAAAGGTCTTAAAAGGAAAAAAAAATATATTTTAGAAACCATATCTAAAATATCATTAGTTTTCAAGCCATTAAATAGCCTGTTTATATGGTCCTGCTTCTCAGAATTATCAGGAGCTATCAGCTGTAAAACTCTTTGTCTTCTTTAGAGGACTCTGTATATGGGAATTCTATGAGCAGTGTCTTAAGGGAATGCATGAAGTTTTACCATTGTATGACAACATCATCTCTTTACATTGTACCCTGATGCACCCTGATCCAATTGTCTTGGCTTCTATCCCCTCTCCACAGGAGGCAAAGAGGGAGCAATATTTATTTTCCACTATTACTCTCTTGTTGGTACTGTGGCTATTATATGTAGATTTGATTGACTGCTGGGGGATCTTCTCTGTCATATGAGAACTCTTAAACATGTGATGCTTGCTTTCTTGGTGCTTTCTGACTGTTTTTGAAACCCACTTAGTAAACATGCATATAGTTTCCAACACTTTAATTTTTCTTCTTAGCAGAAGAGGCTGTGTATTTCTGGTTTTGGAGCCTGATACTTAACTAATTAATTTATGTTCCAAGAACCACCTCTAGTTCCAGGTGTCATGTGACAGGAACCAAGAGGAATTTTGGTCCTGTTTCTGCATCACTGTTTTTTGTTGGGAGCTTCACACTCCTGTTTTCTAGCATCCTCTTGGGATTATTAGTGCCAGTACTTTGCTTTATTAAGAGCATCTGACAATGAAGCTGATGTTGCCTAACAGAATCACAGGTGCCAGAAAGGATTAACAGCCATGTTTAGGTTGTATCTAATGAATTCCTGCATCCTGCTGAGGAAATCATTGCTCCCAAATTAAGGATCCATTTTATCAGCATAACTGCAGTGTCCAACAGCACGGTATATTTCCCTAGTGGAATTACATGGAGTAGAAATTAGGACTTGTGTGCACATATCCTCAGACACTCTTTCTTAATTTAGCTTAATGGCACTGGTGCCAAGAGAAGAGTGCTCCAAGTTACAAATTCCTTGACTTGATTCATGGGGTGCCATGAAGCTTCCAGAAATGACAATATAACAAATTGTTGGGAGAAAAAGTGAGTTATTCTCAATACTGTTTCTCAGTAGTTTATTTTGTTTATTGTGTCAGCTCCCCATCCCTTCTTTTTTTTTTTGTTGTGTAAGTTTGAATAACCATAATTATTCTGTTTGCTGACACAGGTAGCCTCACTTTTCAGTTTAACTGACTTCCATTGCAAACTGTTGCTGATACAGTAATGTTTTACATAAGTTTACATTCCAGTATATTATTCAATAGTTTCAGCAATCTCCTGAAGCCTCTATAGGACTTGTAAACTGTGGATTTTTAGACTATGGTGTTCCTAAGGAATATTCTATCACCACTCAATTTCAAACATTTTTCAGTTTCAGAAGTTGCTGAGATGTGTAATTTTTCTGATTTGTGTTACTAGGGTTCTTTAACAATCTCCCGTCTTACATAGGGATATAATGAAGTGCTTTGGGAAGAATGTGTGGACCTCTTGGTGCAGACTATCAGAACAGATCTATAATCTCAGTTCTTTTACTAACTTGATTTGGGGACTTGAATTTTCAGGCTTGGCTTCTGGGAAAAAAACAAGACAGGCAGACAAGGCCATGTCTTGTGCCATGAAATTGAGCTTTCACTTGGAAGCAATTGTGCAGAGACATTTTCCTGCCTTTTCCTTGTGCTGCTGTTGTATATATTTAACTTGTAGAGGGCGTACTACTTCCTTGGAATTAATTGGACAGTTCATACCTCACAGAGTTTTAATTCCCATATGTCTGTGTATGCATCAAATACTTTTATCTCTTGTATTTAATGCACCTTTTGGGGGATATCCATGATGGTAGATATCTAAAATTTGAAATTCAAGAGAGGTGCATCTACAATGAGTATTGTGAAATCTTATTTTTCAGGTACTTTTTTCCTAGAATATAATTTACAAATCAAGGTGCTAGCATTCTGTATAGAGTTTATAAAACCAAGTATGTACTTTATCATTCAGTAGGATTCTGTATCTTTGTCTGTGGGTAAGGATGTCCTGTTTCCTCCTGTATCTTTATCTCACCATTCCTATTTCTTAGCCAGATTTTCTTTTAAAATATAATTGCTATTGGTGTGGAATTGTGTAGGGAATGTAACATGTTAACCATACTAAGGGAACTGTCATGGTGTGATTTCATATGTGTGTTAAGGGCCCAGCTTATATGCCGTACCAAGTTTGAAGTGGCAGAGATGGCTACAAAAATGCAGGGGGTTATGAATATTAAAGCAAGAGAAACTCTTCATTTTATTCCCAAGTTAGAAAAACAGGTAAATAGAGCTCTTAGCTTCATGGTGTTTTATCTGCATGCCTTAATTCTACTGATTTGCTTCATATGTCAGAGTACTTTTGTAGATCTTGTCATTATGGCTTTCTTGTTGATAAATCCAAGGTTTCAGGAAGGGTTGTGGAAGCTGGAGAGAAGCATTTGTTATTCCATTATACACTGGTTGTATTCTAGGTCTGTGGTAAAACAACTACTAGCTAATAGAATTGTGGCTTGAACTTCACATTAATAGGTAAACAAATGAAGCAAAGGAAAGATAGACCCTTAATGAGATATAAGAACGGTTTCTACTCACCTTGCACAGTGATGGGCTGACACCAGCCCAAGCATCAGCACCAGCCTGTGTCCATCAAGGCAAATGTACTGCAAAGCTTATAATATGCTGAGTTGAACACTTTGCTCTGTGTGAAAAAACGAAAAAAAGCCCCCAGGTGTTAACCGCTGTCATCTCGCTGCTTCCAGAAGTTTTACACCAATTTAACAAAGAGCACAGGAGTAAACTTAGAGTTACCTTTGTGTGTCTGTATTGGCAGTAGCAAATGATACACTGATGAAACAGGACTGACTGAATGAATGCATTTCCAACAGCTCAATGTAAAGCAGAAGATCCTTTCTGATCAAAAAGTTGTCAGTCTGCCATATATGTGGTAGTGAATTACAATCAGAAATTTGAATCACATAACTGTATTAACAGCTTTCTGACCCCACTGACAAAGGTTACCACTTCCACTGCAAAGACATTTGAACAACTCCTAAAGAACAGCTTCATGAAACACAGGAATTTTTCCATTATTACACCAGACTTACACTTCTGTGTCTCAGCAGTTAGTGTACAACCTGTTTGGCCATCTTGGCTGTGCTATAGCTCCTGTCAGAGGTGGCAAACACTTGAATCATCTGCTTTTAATCTTCTTCCAAGAGTTGGAATTTGACAAAAATCAAGGCAAAATTGGCTTACAGTGAGTCAGGAGAAGCAATGGCACCTAGACAGATAAACCCCAGATGTACACAGTATGCTTGGGGTTTTTTTTCATGAGACTGGCAGCAGATAAAGGCAGGCTAAAAAGGAAATGGCTAAAGTGATTTAAGAATAGTTACATAATATGTTGACTACCAGTGAAACTCATATATTGTTGTTAGTTTCAGTCATTCAAGTGTGAAGTGCAATTTTATATATCTGGAATTCTGTAGATCCATATGCAACAGCACTTCAAAAGTGTGGTCATCTGAAGAGAACACCAGCAGTGAAAAAGTAAATTGGTTGAATGTGACAGAGCACTAATACTGATGAATGTCCTACTTTCTTTCTTTTCTTTCAGTTTACAAGCTTTGAGGAAGGAAAAGTCCCGAGATGCTGCTCGCTCTCGCCGGGGAAAGGAGAATTTTGAATTCTATGAGTTGGCAAAATTGTTGCCGCTGCCTGCAGCCATTACCAGCCAGCTTGACAAGGCCTCCATCATCCGACTTACAATTAGCTATCTGAAAATGAGGGACTTTGCTAATCAAGGTGATCCTCCATGGAACTTGAGGATGGAAGGACCTCCACCTAATACATCAGTAAAAGGTATGGAGTAAATATTTTTGTGCGCTGTAGACTATGGCAGCATTTAATAACCTCTAAATTGAAATTTTTACCTTCATCCTTTCTTCTTTCCCTGCATATCAAATCCTTTAAAGGGATTCAAATATGGAAATCTGAGGTCTGCATGAGAAAGACACCATGTGAAGGTGAAATAAACCTCTTATTTCAATTATTTTTTATTTAACAACGAACCTATGGTGTAACTATTACAGCTGTAAGTCTTCTGGGTGGTGTAGACTAAATTCTTTCAAATTATTTACCTGTTATTGTATTATTTTGTTTTAGTATTTTATATAAGTATATGCGTGAGAGGAAAATGGCATTATTCCTTGGTTTGAGAACTCAGTCTCTTAATTTTCTGGCTATACCTTAAATGTAGAATCACATATTTCTGAAGTTTGAAAGCATCACATCCAAATACTTTTCAGCTGAGAGACTAGGATATTATTTATCCTCTTGTAATGTCCATAGAAATTATTTTGACTTCTGAGCCAGTAGGTATTTATCAACAAAATAAATTATTATTGTACTAAATGCTCTCTTTTAATGCTCAAACAAGCAGTTGGGGAGCAAAAGCAATGTTTTAGATGTGAATTGCCACAAACTAGAGGCTGTGTGCATGTTGTTCCTTAATAGTCTTTCCAATGACCTTTTAAAGTGGACTTTTTTTGGTAATCTATTATTTTTTTCAACTAATGCTACCTATCTGGATGTGATCTCTGTCTGATAAGTATTTTATATTAGGGACTAAGTTGCAGTAACAGAAATCAGGATTACCAAACCTGGGATTTCTGGATGTCCTGGCTTTGACAGCACAGAATACTCCTTTATTTTAGCTACTGATCTCACGTTTTGAAGGAAACATATATATGGAAGAGGTATATGAGATTTGAGCACTTCACGTTTTTTCCACAAGTTATGAACTATAAACTCTTAATCTACACTAAACTAGATAGAATGTATATAGCATGAGGCAAACAAAGAAGCCACCTTTTAAGGGTTGAGGGAGGAGGTAGAAATAGAATCTTATTTATCAGCCCACAGCTGTCAATGAAGGGTTACTTGTATTGATGATGCAAAGGGCTTTAACCTGCTCTTCCATTTAAAAGAAGTGATATTATTTAAGGAAAGTTAAAATTTTCAATGGATGGAGAGAGGTATGGAGGGCAAAAACCAATGCACATTCAGACTGAGGATTTGGTAGCTGGACATAGTTCCATCATTTCATATATTTAATTTATATTATCTGCCTCATCATATATAATTCTCACAGAGATAAAAAAAAAAGCAATAATTACATCATCCAGGACATGAGTGTAACTTGGTTCATTAGGCTTCTGATATAAAATGCAAATGTTCCCTATTTTTTTACAGGATGAGAGTTTGTTCTCAGGCAATTAAATATTTTTTCAAGGTAGATGTAAAGTGGACTCTGCTGTACAATCTATGATCTGTTTGTGCTTCTACAAGCTGTCCCATGTAACTGAAACTCTGAGCTCTGCCAGTCTCTGTATATTTTTAGAGTATCTGGGATCTGTTTTTCATTATCCTTTTCTACAATATACCTGAATACCGAATCTTCCTTCTTGTGCAAAGATTCTTATGAAGAAGATAATTTTAAGGAAGAACAAAATCTTATTCTTGGACAACAACAGCAAGAATCTGATCTAGATTAATGTTTCTCCCTAAAACAGAGCTGGGTAAACATTTAATGTCTGTTTACGCTATCTGATATAATAACCCTGCCCCTATAGCCATCCAGTGCTATGTTTCTCATTCCTTTAGGTTCAAGGGGGCTCAGGAAGGGGTTTGACTTTTTTTTTTCTCCTGTTTGGGTGTTTAGCTTAATGCTAAGTAGGATTGTATTATTTATGTGTCAGTATATTGAAACAATGCTTGATGAAAGTGTGTTTCATTGTATAAGAATTCCCCATAAGCAGCTTTAACTATATAGTACAGGTATATTTTATGACTTCACCAGTTCTCCTTACACAGAAAGCTGTTAACACATTCTGTTGAAACATTCATGAAATTACATCAAAAAAATTCAGTTTCATTTATTAAGGTTGCTTTTTGCTGCCCTTGAAGAAGTTCATATGTATAAACAAGCTCACATAAATAGCTTGCAGGTTCACGTGACATATGGATGATAAACCTACAATAAAACACTAGACATTATACTTTGTATGTGCACAAGCAATCGTCTGAATAGACTTAAAATTATTTTGGAAATTATTTGAGAGGTACTTACATCGAATAGGCAACTGCTATTTTTTTTTTCTTCCACCAAATGTGTTGGCCTGCTTGTGTTAATCATTCATTTTAAAAGCTTGGTTTTAAATTTTTCCCCCAGTACTGTACAGCAATTTAATAATTTTAATTTAGTATTTTGGGAAGGTCCTTTACTCTACCCTATGTTTATCACAGCTTTTCTTAGAAGTCTGTAAAGGCTGATGAGTTTGTTTTCTTATGCCTATTGTGTAGTGATCACTACAAGTTGTGCTGGCAAATGAGTGCTCAGGTAACTCTATATAATATTTTCAGAGTCAATTACTTCATGGAAATATCTTGAGCAATTGGAAAGAAGCAGATAGTTTTCTCCATTATTTCATAAATATCTGTATTGTTATAATACAGATCAAATCTGCAATGAACATTATGCATTATTCAAGAAATGACCAGGCATTCTCAGCAGTGTTTCAGCTAAATAACTGATGATTGTAACCTTTAAAGAAATCTCATTGTGGTGACTATTGGTAAATCATTTCTCCATTCATAGTAATCTTTATTTAGAGGCGATCTAAAAACCATTATATCTTTTATTAATCTTAAAAGCAATAGCCAATGATTTGACATTTGCTAAAAATGGAAAAAATTTCCATCCTCTAATACAGCAAACTTCAGTCATTTTTCTTTTGGTACATTGTCTAAGGCTTTCTGTTTGTAGGAAATCTCAGTCCTTATAAACAAACACACACACAACTTATAGCAGATAAGTATATAGACAGTTCTTAAAGACTGTGTGATTCTATATGGAAGAAAATAATCAAGATGTTACTTATAGTCAGTAGGAATAAAATTTCCAGTCTTTGATAGTACATACAATGTGTTATCAATAACAATACTATTCTCCTGGGTTTCCATCCTTTCAAAAGTCTTTCTTCCAGTTCTGAGGTATGTTCTGAGGACAACAGTAAATGAGCTGCTTACCAATTTTTTGAATTAAATGTGAGTTTCCTGAAAGTTGTCTGGAAATAGAAGTATTTTCATTGTATTTACTGTGTGTTCTGGCAGAAAGTGGTCACATGGACCTTGAAATACTCTTGTGAATTTTGATACTAAGCCCGTAGTCCTGTTCCAACATCAAACTCTTGTGAGCACCTTTGTATTTTGGAATACTGTCGTCAAATTATTGACTTTAAATTTTATTGCATTTTTAGCACAAACTGTTTCTTAAAGCATTCAAAAATCATGCAAATTTTCATGTTCTTTTCCACTGTATTGTGGGTCCTTTTGCTAAGCCACATGTTTTCCCTTTTTTTTTTCCTTAGCACTGGAAAGAGGAAGGGAGAGGAGGAATTTGAGGCACTGTGATGTTTTCAGTGTGTTGAATGTGTTTGGCTGATTTAAAGTTGTGCTGTGTATTTTGGTTTTGGGCAATCTTTGGGACATTGGTTTTGACTCAGGACCACTGCCATTATAAAAAGAAGGCTCATGATCCTTTGCCTTGAACAGAGTTTCCAGCTTTTACGATTTCTGTTTCTTTTGAAAGAGAAAATAAATCCAGTATTCTGTGCCTAAATGCAAATCTTTGTCCTGGTAATTTGCCATCATGACATTGAAATAGTTATCATATTTTGAGTTTTTTTATTTTCATTGAAGTGAGGTGGTAGTTTCTGGTTTTGGGGATAGAAATGTTTTTGCAAGGCCACAAGTCTTTTCCTGTTGAATGATGTAACATTTGGAAACTAGACTATGTAAGACAACTTTGGATATATCAAGTTAAAAGTGGGCTTATAATTTTTATTTTTCTATGCCAAAACATAACATTTTATGCTACATAAGTAAAAAAACTCTTACTTCTGCTCTAAGAGAAGAGATGCATGAGAGATTGTAGCTGATGAATGAAAAAGGATTTCAGTAAATAGTACTGACTGACTGGTAGGCTGTGTAAAAATGTCACTTTTAGTTTAGCCATCTCTACTTTTAGTGTTCCATGTTCTGAAATTAGGTAGTTTTACACATTTGTATTCTGGAATTAATATATATCAGTAGTAGGAGAAATCAGATTCTCTCAAAAGTATTTGTGTTATATTGAAATATTTCTCATCCAAATTGTTCTTGTTTAACGTAAGGAAATAAAACTGAAAAGTTCCTTGCCGTAAAGCACACAATGTTACTTCAAGTCTGTATTGGTAGAGAGATTTAAAAAAAAATGGATAAACACAAGAAGAAAAATTACACTTTAAATTAAAATTGCACATTTTTCCTTTAAACTAGCATGTTTTTCAAAGGTTCCATTCTCACAATAAACAAAGTATATAAGTCTAAGCTGAAAATGAACTTGATGTCATATCATGTTGCAGGGCTTGGGGTTGAGGAAATAAGTCCAGCACTTTGAATTCTCTGGGAAAGAAAACAAGCAATAATGATAATTGGAAAGTATGGTAATTGTTATCCCAAATGTCAAGTGGAATTACTTTCATTAATTTAGATACCTTTTTCCTAATATTTTTTGTGCTAGATATGTATGCATTTATAAGAGATGAATAAGTTGCTCTCTTCTGCATGACCTCATTGTGGAAACACTTTAAATAACATTGCCTGTTGTTAGCCTTTAATATTTTAAATGGAGTGTTGTCTTCTGAGCAGGAAGTGCAAGATAGTGCAAGCATTTCCCTGCTAAAACCCACAAACCTTCCAGTAAGACCAGTCTTCTGTTCTGGACCCCTACACAATTCTGTCTCAGGGAAACCATCTATAAGGGCAAAGTAAGGATTATTTTCTTCCATAGTATTTTTGGTCTAAGGCATTGCTTTTCAAAGTTTGATTTGAAAAACTCAATCGGATGAAACAGGATAATGCGGATGAATTTGTGGCATTCCTTGATACAAAAATGGTCTCCAAATTCAGATCCCTTGTGCAG